AGAACTATGTTTGAAAGATATTTATTTGAAGGAAGTATATTTCAAAAATAATTTCTTATTGGAAAGGATTATATTCTAAAGACATCAATTTAAAAACTTACGGGTGGAAGTTTACACTTGAAAGATTTTACTAATTTATTGGGGTTGTTGGATGAGAACTGATGTGAAAACTATTGCAGTTGCTAAGTTACTACTTGCCTTTACTGTATTGTGATTATTGGATTTGGGTTGTGTTTTCGTTCATTCTTCTGTGTCTTATTCTGGTGTTTCGCTGTTACTTCCTGTTTTTTCTTCCTTATCGTAGTTGCTATGTCGTTAGCCTTATCGCGGGGTCCTTAGATAGATGTCATGTTCTGTCATCCCTATACTTATGCTGGTTCAGTTTATTAGACCAGTGGGTGTCTTGACTAGTCCTCGTCACTACTTCACCGAGGTTAGTCTTGATACTTACTGGGCACCACTGTGGTGTGCTCATGCTACTCTTCTGCACAATTTTTGTTTTTGTGCAGACCCAGGTATTTGTTTGTTAGCTAGTTGTGTGGACTGTCGCTGCGGAGACTCAAGGTAAACCTGCCGCTGCGTTCGCAGGTTTCGGAGTCACCTTTAAGTTTTTGTTTTGCACTGTTTATTCTTATTTCTGGACAGTTGTATTTAGAAGTTTTCTAGAAAACACTCTGTGGAGCTTATGACTTGTACTACCAGTTTTGGGAATTGTAAGAGATTTCTATTTATTTTGTTAGATGTTAATTAAATAATGTTGTTTCAATTAATGTTAGGCTTACCTAGTACCTAAGACTAGGTGCCATCACGATACCAAACTGAGAAAAAAATTGGGTCGTGACAAGTTAGTATCAGAGCCCTAGGTTAATAGGTGCTACGAGTCATAAGCGAGTTTAGTAGAGTCTTGCGGATCGTTACGAAGACTTTATACTTATTTTCGAGAGGCTACAAAACTATTAGGATAATTTCACTTCCTTCATTCCTATCGTGCGAGTTCATTGATCTTGAAGTTTGAAATTTACCATTCCATCCTCTCACAAATGGTGAGGACACGAGCTGCGGTTCCTGATGATATTACCCCTAGAGTAGTTTCCGCTATGGTCAGAGGCAGCGGCCAACGAGGAGCACGTGCCGTAGTTAGGGCACCTAC